GTCATGTACTTTATTGTGCTTTCCTCTAATAGTTCCTGGAGTAAAAGAAAGGGCCTTGCACATAGTAGGTGCTCAATATGTATTTGTTGATTAAATAAATCAGTTATAGTGGAGTAGGAATCAGCAAGCAGAAAGTCTTGATGGTTTATATTTCATTTATTCACTCATTTTTATTTGTTTCACAAAACATACTGGCCTCTTCTTATTTACCAGGTATCATTCTAGACACTGGAAGCATAAGAGAAGTAAGACAGGCAAGATCTTCAGGTTCTAAAACGGTTGGCTGAACAGGCACAAACCAAGAAAATATCTGAACTAAGGTGGTGTACTCTGATGTGCTGATGTGAACCCAGTAAAAGTGGGAGCCAGGGAGGTGGCCCTGGTAGGGCTGGCGCTGTAGAGAGTAGAACCCTGGTCAGAAGCACCCCGGGCTTCAGCATGGACAGAGAGGGAAGCACCCACGCTGCTGCCCCTCCCCACTCATCTCCTGTCAGCACTGGATGAACTCAGAGGAGAGGCCAGCGAGGCTGCCCAGGAGGTGCAATCCCCGCAGTCAGCTTTCCAGAGTGTGGAGCAGAGCAGAGAAAGAGTATGATCTCAGGCCTAAGGCTCGAAAATAAAAGGAGACGAACCTCTAAGGGGGCCCTTCAGCAACCTGGATCACTTTTAAGCTCCTGGCACTGACTTGGGTTTACCTTTCCCCCATAGGACCTGGGGAACAGAGCTTGGCCAAGAGCAAATGTTGTTAATTTAATTGCACTTTGTAGGGTTGCCTCTGCTCCTTGGAATGAGTGTGCTTTGAGCCTCAGATTTACCTCCTGGCGATTCTTGTCTTTAGGGAAACACAGTAACTTAGTCACGATGGTATTCCAACAATACGGTTTGAACAGAGCTCTGTCTGATGAGCAGTTGCTAAACAATGAAAGGATTCATTTTGCCTGCAGAATTTTTTTTGCTACTCAGATGCGTAACTGTGATAGAATAAAACATTTCTCAGCTTGGACTATATCTTCATGAAATTTCACTGGGGTTAGGGAGAAGACATAAGGGACAGATTACAACCATTTGAATTTCCTCCCCCTCTCCCTCAGGAGTCCTCTTTCTTTAACAGTGACTAAGTATAGATGGATGTTTTATCTTCCTTTAGACTCTACATATGTTTTCTCTTCTGCCCAAACCATCACGTACAGGGTGATGTACCTCATACAGCTAGAATGCAAAGAATCAAGTCACAGATGTCTGATACAGTCAACTTTGTTCTAGAAGAGGTGAAACTGAGAATTTGGAGAGCTTCTAGCAGTAGAGGGACAAGGACATCCAGTTGAGGAGAGGGGAGGGGAGGGGAGGAGGGCAACTGTTGATATTGGATTTCCTTGATGGTCTGTGGGGACTGGATTTGTGCAAACACTGAAGCTTTATGGAATATGTTTAAAGTGTGCTCTAGACTGCAAGGGCTCCAGGTGAGACAAAGTTGCAAGAGTTGTCTGGGTCTGTTACTCAGAAGGGAAAAGACAAGATGTCATAGGGAGATGAGTGTGCACCTTTTGACCCGGGAAAGGGAGAGGAGACCACTGTCACAGTGTGAGTAGCCAGAGAGCTGTGCTTGAGAGGAGGCAGTTTGGGAAGCTCCTTGATCTGAGGATAACTGGGGAAGAAGATGAGTAGTCGTTCACTGGGCAGAGACAATGTTCTCTGAAAACTTCTTTTTCCTTGTGGACTCACGTGAAGACTTTCCCCAGCACCCTTGTTTGTAGGTAGAGCCATATGGGAGATGGGTGGGATCAATATAGATCATTTCCACATGTAGCTCAGCAAAAATAGATAGTACTAAATTTCCTCCTCTAATTGAGAGTGGAGAGAGCCTCAAGATGGAAGGAGAGAATCCAGATAAAATTGGGATGATGGTTTCTCCAGGAGGAGTCGGGTCCTATTTACACAGTGCTTTCTGTTTGTTTGTTTTTTGGTACTGGGGATCGAACTCAGGACCTTGAGCTTGCAAGGCAGGTGGCCAGAACCACTGAGCTAAATCCCTGGCCCTACACAGTGCTTTCTTGAAAGGGTCAGAGAAAGGAGCTATGTGAGATCTTTGGGTTGATCCAAGGTTACTGCATCCACCCAAACTTTGAGGAAAAGATCCTTCTCTTCTTCGTTCTTCTCTAAGGAACATCTGATCCTAAATAGGGTGGAAGGCTGGTGCATAAGGGGTAATACAATTGACACTTAAGTCAACCTGTAAATGTGGCTAGAAAGGAAAATACAGAGCTAACTGGTGTGTTTCTAAGGACCATGAGTTGGGAATTCTTTCTCTTCCCAGGGTCTGTTTTCTTTGGGGAAATGGACCTTTCAATCCACTTCCATATCACGCTGATGAGAGGAGACCCCAGAAATGCAGTGGGATCCCTTCAACCTCTAGTGATTCTGCTAAGCCTTCCAGGTGCAGTATGTACAAAATGTCTTCTGGTGCATCCTGGAGTACCTTACGCATAATCAGTGCCATTAAGTAAGTTCATGTGTCATGAATGGGATAGATGGATTGATGTGAAAATGAGGGAAGGAATAGAAACCTGAAAGGAAGCTTGGGGTTATGTGGGAGCTCAAAAAAGAAAAAAGATCACATAGACTGGTGCACCTGGCTGGTTGGTCATAAGTGGGAATGTGGCACCAGCTGGTTTCTGTTTAGGGTCAGCATCTTTGCACGATTACAGAGCTCAGAGAAGTTTAAGACATGTATTGCTGCTATTTAGGATTTTCTAGAGATTACTAAGATGGCCCCAACTGAATGTTATTATTTAAGAACTCAATTAGATCAAAGGTTGAGCACCACATTTTGGTTATATTTCATTTCCTCATGGGGAAGGTGAGGTAGAAGAGGAAGGCTGCAAGTATTTGTCTGTACAGTAGTATGATTTTATTTCCCAAGAAGTTATTTCACTGAAAACAGTGGTGTGCCTGAGCCTGTGCCAGGCTGGCTGTGGTCAGCATGGAAATGAGACTAGAAAACACACTTACACTGTGCCTTCTCAGTGACCAGTGCTGAGTGACGCCAGAGGTAGGCTTTTGTCTAAGTTAAAGAACAAGGCATGAATGATGTGTTTGTCTTTGTCTTTTACTACTTTCAAGCCATGAAACACTTCTCAATTACTTGTCATTTCACTTTGTTGCTGTTTTGTTTAGGTGAACACTAGTGAAACCGAAGGAGAAAAACAAACTGCCTCAGTCTTCACCAAAGAATACTTCAAGCCTGCCCACATCTGGTCATTGACCAAGCTCTTATTGAATGCAGTTTTATTGACAGTGATGAGATTACAAAATAACACTACCATACATGTTCTGTTGTTCTTTATATAGTACCAGAATGTTCTAAGCATACAGAAATTTTCTGCCAAAACTTGCTGAATAAATAGAAAGATTTTTAGGAGAATCCAAATAATTATTTCATTTCAAAATCCCTGAGAGGGAAAATTAAATGGTGTTTACCCTCTGAGTGTGCAACAGGCTAAATATTTACAATTTTAGAGTCTTCAGTTCTCGTAATTACAAATAGAGGAGTGCTTGGGAAATTTTTCTGTAGCTTATTGATATGAAGAGAAATGTCGAAAAGAGTTCCTTTGAATGCTCCCTTGTACTGGAGAACATATTCATCAGTGGCTGGAAGGGGCTCCAGCTCGCAGAAACTACATAAACTCATTTGGATGAAACTAAAGGAAAAATAAATGAAGTGATTTTTTAGTTTCTTTTTTTTGGAACTTGGATGAATTCTGAAGACACATGGGCAGGATAACTAGCAAAAAACCTCTCAACACTTTCCTATTTCCAGATGAACTTCTATTTACAAACATTTATAAAATACACTTACCTATAATTGCTACTCTGCCCCAGATCAGTGAGCAGTCCTCACTTTCTCCTCACCTCAGGGTAGCTCATCACTCAGAACACTCTGCTACCTCTAAGTGTTGAGTGGAACTACATTAATCTGTACCACTTCCGACTTTCTGTCTGTTACCGTCCTTACAACATAGGGAATAAAAAATGAAGTTCGTTTAGTGCACTGAAAAGTACTTGGCCCCAAGAACCTAGCTAAGTGTGGACAAACTCTACTACAGCCTGGCTTCCTGGAGACTCTTCTCAGGGCTCTGGCCCATTCAGGAAAAGATAGCTTGAGTTTTACTGTTTCAGCTGCCTAGTAACATGCAATTTCCCTGATTCACTGAACAGATGTGTTTATTTAACCCAGGGCTGAGGCATTACAAATATAAGTCCTTTTTTTTTTTCAGAAAAATAAAAGGAAGCACATGGTTGGATCCTAAAACTTGGGAGTGTAGTTGAATGTAAGCTTGAACCATAATAAAAATGAAGTAGATTTTCCAGTTGGGAAGCTTGGAGACACTGTCATGTGTTCTAGGAGTAGCTCCTTCAATAAAGATTAATGAATCTGTTTCACATATGAAAAGTGACATGTATTATTTTGATTCTGCATGTGTTTGTGTCGATCTTCTTGAACTGTTGAAGCAGAAGACAAAAAGCTGTGCATCCAGGAAACCAACAGGACCAGGTATGTGTACTTTCGGAGTTGTCAGATCAACAAGGCAGAAAGCAAATGGTAATTTCAAATTATTTATCCAGTTCTAACATGTCTCCAGCTTAGAAAGCCACTGCCAAGTTTTCACCCAACCTATCCTATCAAGCTCTAATAAAAGAAAATTTCTCTAGTTTCAGTATCTCTCCTTTTTCAATCATCAAATGTTACAATCTTGATTCTTATTTCACTTAGAGCTCTAAGTCTCCCTCTTCACACAGCACCTCTAAGATCTCAAGGGGAGACACATCTCTCAGTTCCATATAGAAGGTAAGTCCATTTGCCCATAATAAAGCACTTTTTTCCTCTCAAAACTTTTAACAATTTACTATAGGCTTTTCAGCTGTATGAGTGCATGTACATACCAGGGTAAAAGATGTTCCAGTCACGCTCACATAGACTTTGCAAGTTGTGGCCAAAATAATTGATTAGAAATGAAGTTTATTCATCAATGCTGCTTCAAGGGAGAGGGCTATACATAGCTTGTACCACTTGTCATTTAAGAGGTTGGTGATTTAACTTTCTCCATAAACTACTTTCTCACAGAGCCGTTTTTTCCAGCCTGGGCAGATATAGAATTAAAGGGGCAGAGGCCTTTACAGCTCCTCTATGCTTGGTGCAATTCCACATTACCCAGGTCAGATGAGGAGAAAACCCAGTGCTTTTATACTAATAATGTCTTGTTCTTAACATGTGGTAATTATAGCCTGTACCTGAGGCGTTACCACCAAATATCCAGAGACACACATAAGGTTAATGATATGAAATTGTTCCACAAAGGGCATTATAGGAACCATTTTCACAGTTGGAATTAAGTACAGTTGTCCCTCAGTATCCATAGGGTACTGGTCCTAGGACCTCCTAACCTATGATACCAGTATTTCTGGAAGCTTATATTCTTCATATAAAATGACTTAGTGTTTGCATGTAACCTACTCACAGCCTCCCATATACTTGAAATCATCCCTACATTACTTGTGATACCTAATACAGTAAAAATGCTATGTAAATAGTTTCAAAGTGTTGTTTAGAGACTCATGACAACAAAAAACAGCCTGTATGTGTTAGGTACAGATGGAATTTTTTTCAAGTATTTTCAGTCTGTGGTTGGTTGGAATTTTTGACATAGAACCCTTGGATAAGGAGGGCTGACTGTACTTTTGATATAAATATAACTCCATCAATAATCTCCCTACCCAAGGTCGGAGAAGATGGAATTAATGAAAACCAGTTACATTCCCATACATTTTATGTTTAACCCTTTAAATATTTTTTTATTTTTTAAAATCCAATTGCACAGAACCCATTACTGATAGGCCACTTCCTCTCCCAAACTATCGAAGAATGAAGTGATAAATTCTAAGAAAGGAAAATTATGTATCATTTGCTACAATCATTCCCCTTTCCCCGAACTTGGCAAACATGTAAGAAAAATGAAGGCCGGTGAATGCATTTTGATTTGCAAAGCTAATTTGGAGCAAATGAGATTAATAAAAATAAAACAGAATGAGCACACATTATTTTAATACTTCTATATGAAATGAATGTGTTAGATTCGTAATCAGGAAGGGAGAATGAGTATGAAATTGGACACAAAAGTGTTTTCTCACAGGAGACCTCCTTTCCCTGTCATTGCCAAATGCAATTTCAAGCGTTTCCTTCATTCTCATTAAGTGGGGGCCAATAAGGTATTGGTTGCAGGACTTCCAGGTTAAGCTTCGGGTAACAGTCTTTCCGGATATAACTTTCTGATTGTCCCAGGCTTACCTTAGGGTCAATGTTGCCTGTAGCCAGCCCTATCGGTATTAGGGTAAGGTAAGGCTCCCAGGATAACTGAAATCCCATTAATACAGGAAAGAGGGATAGAGCGCAAATACTTTTGGGAGAAAAAACCAAAATGATTTAAATTTACACTATGAGTTATATGGCTACTATCAATTCTTCTTTTCTTTGAGAGCAGGATTTCATACAAGGGCCTGAGGCAAGAGGAAAAGTCACTGCTAAGCCAAAGATACCAAAACAATCTCTGTTCTTTTCCGGCCAGATTTGAAGTTTTACGGGTGTGTTATGGGCTGCCTTTTAGAATCCTTTATTCAGTGGAATATAGGAAAAGAAACTGTGCTGAAATAGAGTCAAGTTTTTATGGATATGGACAACTGCCATTTTAAAATAAATAAAATCTGTAAGTGAATATTTTCATATCCCTAAATTAAAAAGAAAGGGAAACAAACTTTTGAACACAGACAATTGCTTACTCACGGAAGCTTCACGTGTCTTCCTAAAGATCAGAACAAAGACCTCAAATGTGGGTGTCACCGCTGGGCTTTTGGGAAACGCGCCTACCACGAATTCTGTCTGCCCCCCAGTGGCAGCTGAAACACATTGTTTCCTTTGTTGGCCGTCGCCCTCTAATTCACTTGGCGGGGAGGTAGATCATGCACACCAAGAATTTAAAAACGACCCAGATGCACACCTAGCCTGATTCACAAGCGCGACCCTCCTTGTAGTAAATGCTGCCCGGCTCCCTTTCCGCTAGCTCAGCGTGTAGCACGGCGCCCCGGGCTCAGATGCTCACTGGCACCGAGGACACCGAGCTGGCCCGGGACTCGCGTGTCACACTGTTGGGCATGGCCAGCGTGCAGCACGACACGCCCACGGTGGCCTCGGGCAGCTCGTCGTCCTCCGTCCACTCGTTGAGCTCGGGGCTGAAGCACTGCACGCACTTCTTGTACTTCTTCTCGCCCTCGTTCCAGCCGCCCACCAGATAGGCGCGGCCATGCAGCAGCGAGGCGCCCGCCGTGCTCACGCCCACCTGCAGCGGCGCCGCCTGGCTCCACTGCCGCGTGGCGGGGCTGTAGCACTCGACGCCCAGCACATCCACGCGCTCCCCGCGCGGGCCCAGCTGGCTGCCACCCATCACGTACACCCTGTCGCCCAGCGCCACGGCGCAATGCCAGCCCCGCGGCGTGCTCAGGCCGGTCAGCTCGTGCCACGAGTCGCCCGACGGGTCGTAGGCGCACGCGGAGCGCGTGTAGGCGGCGCCCACGTAGCCGCCGGTCACCAGCACGCGCCCGCCAGCCACCGCGCTGGCGTGGCAACAGCGCGCCACCTCCAGGGGCGCCTTAGGCTGCCACTGGTTCGTGGCAGGCACGTAGCACTCCAGCGAGGCCAGGCTGCCCTCGGGGTTGCGGCCGCCCACGGCGTAGAGCAGCCCGTTGAACACGCTGAGGCTGAAGTGTGTGCGCTTCTGGGTCATGTTGGCCAGGTGGAGCCAGGTGTTGAAGCGGGGGTCGTACCTGGAAATGCAGAGGAGGGGGACTCAGCGACCATCACTGCAAGGACGTGAGGGCCCAGCGCAGGCCTCCCCGGGAGGCTGGGGTGAAACTGCGTGAGATCTGGGGGAGGCGAGGCGGGCGAGGGCGACCCCTGCCCCTGTCTACAGGACCATTTCCTTCAGCCACCCGGCAAAGGGGCTGCAGAGACCCGTCAGTCCCCTCCCTCCGCGAGCAGGAGCTGTCAGCCAGTGAGATTTAGGACTTGTGTGCCTTGGGAAGAGAATAGGAGCCAGTATCAAAAAAGGAACCGCTACGTTAAAGTCAGTTCCTCGCATCTTGACACATTAACCATCACTAGCTCACTCTTGCTGCTTAACATAGGAGCTGCCTTAATTTCCATTTCTCAGAAACCCCTTGGTGTACACTGATCTTGGCCAGTGCCACAGCCCCCCTGAGCCACTCCATCAAATTTCTGTCACATGTCAAAAGGAAGGCAATGGAATTCACATCTAGAAAGCATGAACAAAGGCTTAGCTTTTGATAACTTTGAAGCAATCCAACACTTACTAGTATATAGAAGATTTTAATTTATAGTTTTACTTTTCAGTGCTCAGTACTATAGTTTTATAGGCACTGAAATCAATACTGAAAAAATACCAGTGACTTGAATACTAACAGGTGCAAAATCAGCAGGAGGAAAATAAGGAGTCCTGGTAACTCAGTGTTTTCTTGTTTACATAGTCCAGGGGTATTGTAAACCCAGAATTCATCCCTTCATTTTGATGTTCTTTTCTCATTTAACTCCAGATAATACCTTCAGTTATAAATTAAAGGTTAGAAATGAATTGGTTGTTTGGATTCTTTTAAGTGGTACACTTCCATAATAATGAGATAATAAAAAATACCTTTCATGAATACTGTACAGATTTTCAGATCTTGTTCATTAGTTATTTGACTTTGTACTATTGTCATGACATAAGCACGACTTTGTGACCATTTCATATATATATATATATATATATATGGAAGCTTAATTTTTTCAGAAATATGCTAAAATATGGCCTTTGAATTCCATTTTGATGAATTTATTATTCTTTCATTCTTTCTACATGTGTCAAAAATATTGATATTTTCTATTTTATTTGGTCTTCAAATATTTAAAATTAATTAGCTGCCATATTTTAATGATCTCATTCTCTTTGCCAGTAATGGATCTGACAGTTGTCAGCAGTGGTAACTTAAAAGAAATATTGCATTATTTTATTATTTCTTACCACTTAGTGTTAAAAACTAAATTTGTGGCCAGTTTCTTTCAGAAGTCAGTGTATTGTCAAGGGTACCCGATTAAAAACATGAAACTATGAATTGCTACCTACTGGTGGTAGGATTTCTCTTGGTATCAGTTTTCTCATATGTAAAATCAAGAGTAATTCCCTACCTACCTCGTAGGCTTGTTTTGGAAATGTAATGTGTATAGTATACTTGAGTGCCCTTTATATGATATAAAGTGCTGTACATATGTAAGGTGGCATTGTTATTGTTATTGATTTGCTGAGCCAATTAACTAAGGTAATAGGCATGATTAATTTATTTCTATGTCAAAGCAATCTCTCCTCAAATATTGAACGATTTCAGTTCCCTATAAAAGATCAATTACCTGCAGAAATTGCTGACTGCATGCTTAGCTTGGTTTCTTGCATCATTCTGGTCTTCACCACCGGCTACATAAAGAAATCCATCCATCACAGCGACACACTGGTTAAAACTCTTGGCTGGCATTTCTGTAAGTTTGCTCCATCCATTTTCAGGGTCTCTATACAAAATGTCTCTACTCAGGGACTTCTCGGTAAGGCCTGGGCGTCCTCCAACAGTGACCAGGACTCGACAGCCCCCTCGGATTCTTGTTCGCCTAGACTGCAGAGTGTTCTGATGATAGGGAAGCAGGTGGTAGTTCATAGCATCTACAAGGAGTTTATGACAATCAGCATCTTGCATCATTCTTGGTACAGATTGAACATAGTTGACCAGGTCTTGTGCAGAGATGGTGCCAAAGCGAATGTTGCTCAAAAGATCTGCAGCATGTTTCACTCTCTTTTGGTCAAATTCTAACCATCTCATTGCAATCTGGAATGCCACTATCTCAGAGGGCAACTGCAAATCATCATCTATGAGAAGTTCGTTAATTTGTTCAAATGTAAGTTTCATAAATTGATCTGACTCTGAAAATTCAAGAAAGTTGTCCCGGATGAATTTCTGGACTGCTGCTTTCGCGTTTTTCAGGGAATATGTCTCAGTAATGTTAACAACATACATACAGTTTTCAACACTTATCTCCCGAATTAGAAAATCACTGCACATCTTTACGAGTGTGTGGATCTGAAGGTAAACAGCAGCAGAAATGATGCTTCCGATGGTGTACAAGGACAGGGTCAGCTTGCCTGTGTAGGCATATGCAATGACCGTGGCCAGGCCTAGCGGGGAGATATCATTGAGATCCACCCTTCGAGTTGATGGGTCTTTCTTTAGGATGTTGTAAAAGTACTCACTGCACGAAGCCATCACTGACTTGTGAACATCAAAGGATTTGGTTTTGGTACCGATGACTAAGTCACAGAGAAAGCTTTCCTGTCGCATTTTACTCAAGCCTTCCAGGAGGTTGGGGCCATACGAAGTGTCTGTCAATTCTGAAGAGATGCAGCTAAGACCATTACCTCCCTCTAAGAGCCCATTCAGAGCATTCAGTCTGCTGAGGGGGCTGTCTTCTACGATGATAGTCATCTCGTTGATATTGGCTTTGTTCTTTTTGACAGTCTTCTTTTTGGGTGCCATGTTGGCAAATACACTGTCACAGGCAAGGGCTTGCTTAAAAAAAAAAAGGAAGAAAAGAAATAACAGTATGTTTCATTTTACTTGTGCTTTGGATTTTAAAATACTAAATTGAGAAACTTTTTCTTAAAATATAAGATAATGGTTTTTAATGGCATAAAGCAGACTAATCTTCAAAGTAGATTTAAGGACATATTAAACTGGGTGCACATTTTTATTGAAAGGGTTTTTTTGTTTGTTTGTTTGTTTGTTTTTTGGTACTGGGGATCAAACTTGGGACCTTGCACTTGTGAGCAGACAGCGGAACCACTGAGCTAAATCCCTAGCCCTTTATTGAAAGTTTTTATTGCAGTGTTACATATCAAAGATGAGTCTAGAAAGATTTATATGATCAAATGAGATTTCTCAGTGAGTACATTGCCAAGTAATTTTCATACAGCAAAAATGAACATCTCTGATTCAACTATGTAATATTATAGAATAGTAGTTAAACATTATTCACAGGCCTTAGTTTATTCTCATCCAAAAGTGCATTATAACCACTTTGAAGGTTTTCCTCAAATACTAAAATTTGAAATCCATGTAAAATTAGAAAACACTATGGAAAGATCATTTTATTCATAATATCAATGTGATCTATTATATTGTAAAAGATATAAAAATTTAGTAAGGGCTGCAAGATAAGCACTGTAGGATTTTGCCAGAGGATTTTTAAAAAATTTTATTTTATTGGTACATTTTAGGTATACAATATAATGACATTCATCATTGGAAATTTGCACCTTTACATAGTCTCTTTTAGTTCTTATTTTTCTGCCTTCCCCTTCCCTCCTTTCAACCCCTCCATCCCTCCCTATTTACAAAGACTTTGTTTCCTTTTTTTCATTTTTTCATATTAATTCCATTCCCTTCTTTCCTTTCCCCTACCTCTCCCACTTCCCCTTCCCCTTTGCCCCTTTTCTTCCTATTTGATATTATGTATTACATTTTGTAGTCCTTATGTACACTTTCAGTTTCTCACACTAGAGAAACTACGCATGTGTGTCCTATTTATTTCACTTAAGAGTATCACTTTGATGTGCATCCATTTAGCTATAAATGTCTCTAATTTTTCATTTTTTATGGCTGAGTAGTACTCCATTTTATATTAAAAAAAAAAAAAACTTTTCTTTATCCAGTCTCCAGTTGATGGCCAGTTGGGCTGCTTCCAAGTTTTAGCTATTACAAATTATGCTGCTATGAACATGAGTGCACATACATCACTGTGGTATGATTCTTTCAGTTGTTTGGGGAAGATCCCCAGCAGGGGAATAGCTGGGTCAAATGGGACTTCTAGTCCTGGTTCTTTGAGGTATCTCCATACTGATTCCTACAGTAGTTGCACCAGTCTACACTCCCACCAGCAGTGGAACAGGGTTCCTCTTTCCCCACAGCCCTGTCAGCATTTGTTATTGGTTGATTTCATGACAGCAGCCATTCTTTCTGGAGTGAAGTGGAATCTCAGCGTTGTTTTCATTTGCATCTCTTGAATGACCAGTGATGTTGAACATTTTTTCATGTGTTTATTTGCTATTTCTACTTCTTTGTCTGAGAAATGTCTGCTCATTTCAAATACCCATTTTTGGATTGGGTCTTTAAATTTGGGAGGTCTGATTTTTTTTTTTAAGTTCTTTATAGATTCGAGATAGTAGACCTCTGTCTGAGGAACAGCAGGTGAAAATTTTTCCCACATTGTGGGTTGTCTCTTCACACTGCTGGTGGTTTCTCTTGCTGTGCAGAAGCTTTTTAATAAGAAGAGATCCCACTTGTTGTTTGTTTGTGCCAGTTCACAGGCAACTGAGGTTTTGTTCATAAAGTCTTTTCCTACACCAATGTCTTTAACAGTTCTTCCTAACCTCTGTTCCAGCCTGTTCAGAGTTTCTGTTTTAATATTTAGATCTTTAATCCTTTCGATTTTAGTTTAGTGCATGGTGAGAGATAGAGGTCTAGTTGTAGTCTTTGGCAAGTTGAAACCCAATTCTCCAGCACCATTTATTAAAGAGGCTATCTTTCCTCCAGTGAGGGTGTTTGGCTCCTTTGTCGAAGATGAGGTTTGCCAGAGGATTAAAACCAAAGCGAGTGTGCGCCCTTCTATTGTGCTTCCCCTTGTCTTGTCCATGCAGAAGGATAGCAGCAGGCAGGAAGAAAATAAGAGAAGGGCTTCCTTGCCGGGACTTTTGTCTTTCTCACTTAGCTCAAATTGTCACATTCACATTTAAATTTCTTTAAAAAACTAGCACATATATTCTTTCTCATTACTTTTTGCAAACAATTATGAAACAGATTATGAACCTACCATCATTTTAGTGTTCAAATGCATTTGACTTGTTTTGGGGGCCCCCTTGTTGGTTTATTGGGGGAACTTTTAAGTATTTTCTTCAGCAAGCAGTTACCAGCTATCTAATACTGGCAGGGACCAGTTTGCTAAGAATCATGGAGCAGTTTAAGATGTAATTGCGACTAGGGAGCCAAAGACATGACAAATACGAAATGATAACTTACAGAGTAAATTCTTGGAACAAAGTTGTGTCTGTATCCTGGAGGAACCCAAGGTAACAGTGTTTTTACTCAGACAGAGGGCTTATAACCAGTCACGGTCTTAGAAGAAATTCTGAACCTCAGAAATAATTGGAGTGCTTCAGACTGAACAATATTTTGTTTATCTATCATGAAAAGGTTGTTTTGTTGGTGGCATGTAGAGGTGAAGTTTCAAATATTAATAGCTGTTAAAACAGGGTACTAGTTAGTATTAGAATGGACTCAGACCCCAGTGCTGGTGTTGGGGCTCAGAGGTCCCTGTAATTCTTCAGCTACTGGGTCATAGTCTGCCCCAGGAGGGTCTACGAGAGGGCTGGGAGGTTGGGAGAAATTTAGAGGGGCTCAAGGAAGTGGCTGATTGGCTATTTACAGTACAGTCTATTATATATAAAACATATGGATATTCCTTTATAATATGTGTATATTCATATATATATATGAATATACAATATTTATAGAGAACGCTCAGTATTTTGAGATAGTGACATGCTGAGGCTATGTAAGAAAAGGATCAGCAGGGAATTCAGAATGAAGGAGTGACCAATGGACTCTCATGGCAGTAGCATCTGATATTCAGTTTTAAACCTGCCTTTTCTACACTGTTACTCTCTGTGTCATCCTTAAATGAGGCATCCTCAAGTATCCTTAGTACAGTTTGATAAATTGCTGGCTGACTTGCTTTTCCTTTAGGGATATTGTATCAAGACCACAACTCTAAGATAACCCTAAGCTGAGGGCTGGAATAGGGGATGTAAGAACTAGCAAGTGTAGAGAAGGAGATGATTCAGTAGGGCATCAGCAACTGGACAAGGGAATAACAGCACAACCCCACCTCCAACACACACATGCTTTGTTGTGGCTTTCAGCCTAAAAGTGGGCTGCAATTGGTACAGCTCCAGCAGAAGAACCAGAGGACAGAGTTTGTGACAACTGTATTCACTGGAAAGGCAGTGGGGGCGGGGGGGCTCTAGAAAGAGAGATTCAACAAGAAGCCCAATAGAAACATGAATCTTCGAGAATATCAGAGATGGTAAATGTATGGAAGAACATTAAAAAAACCTATTTTTCGCCCTATAGTTCTTTATAATAAATGTGACTCTTCAGAGCAAAAATGATAACATTACCTTGTGAAGTTTATAATGTATGCAGATGTAGTACCAAGACAATTATACAAGAGAGGATGGGGTGACAGAGGTAAAAGTACCTAAGACACTGCATGGTTTCTGCTCTGTTCTTTTTGTATGTGTTAGACCTCAAACCAGAATTTTGTGCATGCTACACAAACATGATATTACTGGGCTACATTACCAGCTTGGTTTCCATATTTTATATGAAGTGGTACATAACAATATTATGTAGCCTGTGAAAATTAACCTTACATATTGTAACATCTACAGAAGTGATGGCGAACCTATGGCACACGTTTTATTTTCTTCTTTTAAGACTGATGTTACTTTAAGAGTTGTTTTTTCTAAACTACAACCTCAGTATTCAGGTTTAATTGCAGTGTTGGCACTTTGCAGTAAGTAAGTTGCAGTTTGGGCACTCATTTCTAAAATTTTTGCCATCACTTGTCTAGAGTTAATGCTGTTATATAGAAATATAACATGAGCCACATATGCAATTTAAAATATTTTATTTGCTACACTAGAAAGTTAAAAGGGAAAAATAGATTAATTTTAGCTGTATATTTCATTCAGCCAAATATTTTATTTTGTACATGTAATTGGTATAAAATTATCAGTGTGATATTTTACTCTTTCTTCATATTAAATCTTCAAAATGTAGGGTATATTAAAGTGCATCATAGATTTTATTAGCCACATTTCAAGTATTCAGTAGCCACATGTGATTGATGACTATTGTATTAGATGACAGAGTCCTAGAGCAACCACTTAAAAAATGCAAAGTAAATGAAAACCCAACAGATAAACTTAAATGAAATTCAAATGAGGACAGAAAAGTTGGAACAAAGAAACACAATTTGAAGAGAACAAACAGAGTACAATTTGAAGGGCTGGGGATTTAGCTCAGTGGCACTGTGCCTGCCTTGCAAGCACAAGGTCCTGAGTTCGATCCCCAGTACTGGAAAAAAACCCCTCAAAACAACAATAACAAAGCCAGAATAAAATTTGATGGTAATTTAAATCCAACCATATTAATCATTGTTTAAATGTTAATAGACAAAGCATTCAAATTAAAATGCAGGCTCCCAGAATGGATAAGAAAAGTAAGACTAATATATATACTGTCCACAAGAGACTCACCATAAAGACACTGATCAGTAGAAAATAAATGTATAGAAAAAAATTTACCATGGAAATAATAAACATAAGTGGTTCTGGTAGATGTATTGGATAAGACTTTAAAGAAAAAAAACTTACTAGTCATAGAAGGATCAATTCAGCATGAAGATGTAACAATCC